TGGGCCGGCCAGCCTGCGGAGGTTGGTCAGGTGGTCACCCATCTTCTTGATGATTTTCACTTCCTCATCTAGGAAGTGACTCTCCAGGAAGTCACAGAGCTGAGAGAGAAGAGGAAGAAATTAGAAACCCAATCCCCGGAAAAGAGGGAGAGCTCCCAGTTGCAGATTGAAATATGACAGGTGTGAAATGTGGCTCTTAAGGAAATCTGCCCAAAGGGAGGCAAGGCTTGAGGGTATGGTTGGGTAGCCATGGATGCAGGGAGTCCTTACATGGGGGTCCGTGCGGGCAGAACCCAGGGCATGAAGTTCCAAAAGGGCCTGGTTCAGATTTTTCTCCAGGGCCATGGCGGCTTCCATAGCGTCCAGGGTTTTACCCCACTCATCTTGAGCCGGCTTCTATACAAGAGAGAAACGGCTCAGAATACACACACCCGGCACAAAGAACCAAAGCGCCATTTCCCAAGAGTTGCTGGGGATCACAAGGACATGTGACGCTTGTATTTATCACTCCGCACTCAGTCCTATCTTTTACAACTACACCTATCGAAGACCACGCAGCGGTGTGGCCTGCCGCGTCTTGGGGGCACTGCACGACGTGAGACACCATTTCCAGCTGTAAGAACGCTTACAAAGCCGAACTCAATCTCCCAGAAGCCCACGCGACACCTAAGCCCACAAGCCAAGGCGCCTCGCGCGCACGGCCTGCTAGGAGACGTAGTCCATTATCCTCAAGCTAGTTACCTTGATGTCCTGAAAGAGAGCGCGGCCGCCACGCTGGTTTTGCATCTTCAGGAGACGCTCGTAGCCCTCGCGCTTCTCCTCGGCCAATTCGCGGAAGAAGTGGCTCACGCCTTCCAGAGCTACATCATCGCGGTCGAAATAGTAGCCCTGCGGGAAGAGATGGAGGGAACAGTGGTTAGCGGGAGGCGAGGCCAGGGGGAACCCCGCCCTCTGTTTACCCGACCGGACAAAGAAAGCAGGCGCGTGCGCCGAGGGCCGGAGGTGCGCAGTCGGAGGAAATTAGGTCCGGGGGCGTCCCGGGGACTCACCAGAGAGAGGTAGGTGTAGGAGGCCTGCAGGTACACATTGACCAGGTGGTTGACGGCTGCCTCCACATCGGTGGAATAATTCTGACGAATCTGGGAGCTCATGGTTGGTCGGCAAAAAGGAGCTAACCACAAAAACGGTGTTAGCAAGTTCCCAGAAGCAGGAGATGACCAAGAAGATGGTCCCGGAGGTTGCAACTGGAGAGGAAATTGGAGGGCGGTCGAAGGCTGGAAGAAAGAGTCCCCGGGATCTGTTCCGTCCAAACACTGTTGAAGCAAGAGACAGATCCGCGGGACAGCCGAACTGCTATGGGACGTGGCGAGGGCGGCTCCTTTTATAGTGCGCGGGCCCTAGGAGGAGGGGCGCGCGGGGAGGGAGATCGGCCAATCTGCGGTGTCAGGAGGCGGGACCGAAGGCCGTGCCTGACCAATCCGGAGCAGAAAGGAGTCTCAGCCCCCCCCGACCCGAAGCCAGGCGAAGTCACGCGCCTGTAACCCGAGGCTGTTGTGAAATGGGGGATGGGGGTTGGGGGCCCTGGGGCTGATTCAGGGAAGTGGAGGGTTTCATGGTCGGGGGAGGGGGTCCCTCTGGGAGCGAGAGTTTTATGGGAGCATTAAGAGCCCTGTGAACTGATGAGCCTGGGGTCCTGGGGGTGTCTCGGGAAAGTGAGTCAGATTCTGGGGTTTCTGAGGGCATGGATTTTTTCTGGAACCTTGAGTCGGGGGAGGGGCACCTCAGAGGTGCAGAGAGGACCTCTAGTTGCCCTAGGTTTGCGCTGCGAGATAAGGGGGTCTCGGGATCCTTGGGAAGTTTGAAAGGCTGTAGGCGAACCCCTGGGGATCTCTGGGAGACGGAGGGTTGGGGGGACTGGAGCCCTGGGGCTTACAGAGGTGTGGGTTCACGATGCAAAGTCTGTATGTTTTTGGAGCCCTTCCAGAAGAGATCTTTAGGTCCTTGAGTTGCTCTGTAGCTTGGAAAGCGCAGTCGTTCTGGAGCCGTGGGGTTCACCCAGTGCGGGAAGCCCGGGAGGAGCATTGTACCAGGTGGGGTTGGCTGAGCCTTTGGGGATACCTTGGAACTCTTTCAGGGGCCCAGTACTTTTCTGGGAGTGGACACGGGGAGGAATGCAGTGTCTCTTTCGGGCTTTGCCGTGTCTCTGGGACTGCGTTTCCTGGGGCCTGTTTTGAAGGCAACCCAGAGACTGCGAGAATTCTCCTTGGCCCTAAAACAGTCTCTCAAGTTGCCCCAGTGTCTTGGCTGACATGTGCTCCTTCAGGGCCACCAAGAGAAGCCCTGCGTTGTGTGGACCGATGGACGAGACATCTGTCGTCGGTTGCTGCGGATTTTTTAAGTGGGCCTGGTCCATGTTGATTTCTGGGAGACAGTTCGCACAAACCTTGACCCTACTTAAGCGCCCTGATGGAGGAAGCCAGTGCGCTGGGCAGGGAGCTGAAGCCACTGGGATGTGGGGTGTGAGGTCAGGTCCTGCCCTACGCTAGCGAGAGCCGCTCCAAGCAGCCCCGGCGGGACAGCCCCTGACCAAGGGGATCTGCAGATGCCCGGCCAGGCCGCTATCTGGGGTCCTTGTTGCAGGCAGCGGCTGCTGGGCTGCTGAGTCATGGTGAGCTCAGCGCGGGAAGGGGCTCCGAGGGGGACGGATGGGGGTGGGGCCCCTGGCTGACCTCATCCCCTTGGCACTGCCCAACTTTTTTGGTGGGACCCTCAGAATTAGGCCTGGCTCAGATCCAAGTCGGGCCCCCTCCCGCAAGGAAGCCAGCTGCGTGCTTTGTCTCTTGTCTTTCTGGTTCCTGTCATGTTTTTTTTAACCTGGGATCCAGCCTGTGGCCATATTGTCTCCTCACTCTGGGAGGTGGCTCAGTGTCCACTCATTGACCCTCTGCTCCTCCTTCTCCCAACTTGGGGTCACTGGGGAGAGTCCATGGAGGAGGGGCAGCTGCCCACAGCACCGGTGTTGACTGTGGAGCCCGAGTTACTCATTCACCAAATATCATACCTCAGCCGAGACCTTCAGTCTGCAGAGGGGCCTTGGCGCCCATAGGTGGAGGGAGAGGAGGGGCTGAGAGAGGCAGGGTCTGAAGGCCATGGAGAACGTGGGGTGGGAGACAGAGGCCCAGAGAAAGAGACTCAGAGAGAGGGGGACAGAGACCTAGAGGGGGGTGACAGAGATGGGGGAGGGAACAGAGACAGAGAGGGGGACAGTGACCCGGGGAGGGACAGACAGAGATCCAGAGAGAGAGGGGACAGAGATTGGGGGGGGGACAGAGACCCCGGGGGTGGGAGAAGAGACCCAGAGAGAGGGGGACAGAGACGGGGGGACAGAGATGGGGGGATAGAGATGGGGTTGGGGACAGTGACCCAGAAAGAGGGGAGGTACAGAGACCCAGGAGAGGAGGACAGAGACTCAGAGAAGGAAGGGGAGAGAGAGACCCAGAGAAGGAAGGGGACAAAGACTCCAAGAGGAGGACAGAGACTGGGGGGAGGGGGGGACAGTGACTCAGAGAGAGAGGGGGGGAGGTACAGAGACTCAGAAAAGGAAGGGGAAAGAGACCCAGAGAGGGGACAGAGATGGGGGGGACAGACAATGGCAGGGACAGTGACCCAGAGAGAGAGGGGGAGGTACAGAGACCCAGGAGAGGGGAACACAGAGAGAAGAAGGGGACAGAGACCCAGAGAGAGAGGGGGACAGAGATGGGAGAGTAATAGGGATCCAGAGAGAGGGGGCAGAGGTCTGGGGTGAGGGAAAATAGGCCCAGAGAGAGGGGGCCAAAGGTGGGGTGGGAACAGAGACCCAGGAAGCAAACACCAAGAGAGAGAAGTGGGGACAGAGACCCAGGGATGGGAGGGGGTAAAGACCCAGAGGGGAGCGCTGGGCGCGGTGGCTCACGCCTGTAATCCCAGCACTTTGGGAGGCCGAGGCGGGTGGATCACGAGGTCAAGATACCGAGACCATCCTGGTCAACATGGTGAAACCCCGTTCTCTACTAAAAGTACAAAAAAATTAGCTGGGCATGGTGGCGCATGCCTGTAATCCCAGCTACTCCGGAGGCTGAGGCAGGAGAATTGCCTGAACCCAGGAGGCGGAGGTTGCGGTGAGCCGAGATCGCGCCATTGCACTCCAGCCTGGGTAACGAGAGCGAAACTCCGTCTCAAAAAAAAAAAAAAAAAAAAGACCCAGAGGGGGACAACAGAGCCTGAGAGAGGGGGCGCCAGAGACCCGTGACTGTAGATCCCACATCCGCTAACCCTCGTCCTCCCTCCGCCTGTGTCTACGCTCACTGGGCCGCTGAGAGGGCAGCACCTTCTTCCGGCTGTTCTTCTCCAGGGGGCCCCACCCAGCTCTGGGGCCAGACCAGCTTCCTCCTCCTCGGCCCGGCCCTCCAGCCTTTTGGTTTCCAACCAGGTCCCTCCGTCTCCGTCCTCAGCCCAGCTCAGGGGGCCTCTCCAGTGGGCCCTCTCCTCCTGGTGTCCTCAGCCAGCGAAGCCGCCACCAGATTCCAGCGCCCTCCCATCCTTCCTCCCCCACCGCTGTTCTCCAGCTCAGTAAAGATGCAGCCTCCTGAGGTCCCCTGTGTGACACTCCAGGCTCTGGTCCTCGGGTGGCTGCTGTGCTTCCCCCCACCTACCAGCCCGCTTGGGCCCGCCTCCATCCGTGCACAGATCATCCCTGGCTGTGACAGATGTGCCACCAGTCACCCTCCTTTCCCCTCAGGATCGTGGGCCCCTGCAGGGCAGGGCCAGAACCAACTCATCCCTGACCCACAGACCCCAGGGCACCCCAGAAAAAGATGACAAGGGAGTGGAGAGAGCCCCACGCCCGGGCAGGTGGAACGGGCATCTCTAGGTGGGACTGGCGTGGGGCGGTGGGCGAGGCCAGCCCAAGACCTGCTCTCCTGATGCACCGGGGAGCGGGGCGAGTGACTCAGATGCTGAAGTGTGTCCCGAAGGAGGTTTATTACCCCCTCCAGACCACTCCTCCCCCACCCTCCCCAATAATTACAAAAGTAAGAAAAATGCCCACGTCTCCCAATCCCCACCCCTCCCGGAAAAATGCCATAATTTATGGAGGAAAAACAGTCCAAGGCAGCTGGGGGCCTCAGCCCATGTTCTTCCAGATGGTAAGTGAGGCGGTGAGCACTCCAGCCACAAAGATGGTCACTGTCTGCCACGTGGGTGTCCCAAAGTAGGAGAGGAGGCTATCCTGAAGAGAAGGACATCAGTCGCTTCAGCGACTCGGCCAGGGGCAGCCCCTGGGCGAGCACAGGAGGATGAGGGAGGGAGGAGGAGGTCAGAAGGCGAGACTGGAGTCAGGGGACTAAGATGAATGGGTATTATAAAGAGGTGGCCTCGCCGGGCGCGGTGGCTCACATCCCAGCACTTTGAGAGGCTGAGTCGGGAGGATCGCTTGAGGCCAGGAGTTTGAGACCAACCTGGGCAACACAGCCAGACCCCTTCTCAGCGAAAAAAACAAAAGCAGAGTTGGCGTCAGAGGGCCATCAATGAACTTGAGTGATTCCAGATGCAGTGGAGGCTCCAGGCAGGGGAGAAGGCACTCATCAAGTCACAGTCACAGTGAGGTCAGGGGTCACTAGGTCAGCAGGGTAGAGGAATCAGGGGTTGATCAGACATGTAAGGAAACACATTATAGACCACATCTGATGATCTGAGGACGGGCAGGGGCACCACTGTGACCTGCTCCGGAAGGCGCAGGGTCCCAGAGGAGTCGGGGCGGGGGGGGTGCAGGAAGGGTTGAGGGTCTCACCCAACCACCCTGGTCTTGGATCCAGCCCAACAGCCGCTCCCGGAGGAAGTCCAAAGTCCAGCCCATGATGGTTCTGATCAGCTCGGGCACCTTGGCACACAGGGCCTGTGGGGAGTAGAGTAGGTATTAGGGACTGAACCTTGTCCCCACTGCCTGGAGATAGTGTCCCCAAGCCTCCTTTCTCCATTCTTTGCCTCCCCTCACAGATTTCTGCCACCCACAACTGAAGTCAGCTTCAAAAACTGTAAACATGGCAGGGTGCGGCGGCTCATGCTTGTAATCCCAGCACTTTGGGAGGCCGAGGCGGGCAGATCACCTGAGGTCACGAGTGCAGGATCAGCCTGGCCAACATGGTGAAACCCCAACATGGTGAAATCGCTCGTTTCTGGCTAAACTAAAAATACCAAAATTAGCTGGGCATGGTGGCAAGCACGTGCAATCCCAGCTACTCAGAATGCTGAGGCAGAACTGCTTGAACCTGGGAGGCGGAGGTTGCAGTGAGCCCAAACTGTGCCGCTGCACTCCAGTCTGGGCAACAGAGCAAGACTCTGTCTCCAAAAAAAAAAAAAAAAAAAAAATGTAAACAAGATCATGTCTCTGTCAACTGCCCCACCCCGAGCACCCCGTGGCTCCTCAGTACCCTCAGGATGAAGACCCGGAGGCACAGCGCAGCCCACAAGGCCTGTGTACCGGCTCCGGCCTGACCTGGTTCCACCTTTCCACTTCCTTTTTTGGGCCTCGCTGAGCTTCTTCCATTTTTTTTTTTTTTTTAGAGACGGTCTCACTCTCACCCAGGATGGAGTGCAGTGGCGCAATCTCAGTTCACTGCAAGCTCTACCTCCCAGATTCAGGCAACTCTCCTGCCTCAGCCTCCCAAGTAGCTGGGATTGCAGGCACCCGCCATTGCACCAAGCTAATTGTTTTATATTTTTAGTACAGACAGGGTTTTACTGCTAGGCGCAGTGGTGAGTGCCTCTAGTCCCAGCTACTCGGGAGGCTGAGGCTGGAGGATCACTTGAGTCCAGGAGTTCTGGGCTGTAGTTCACTATGCCAGGTTGCCTAAGGAGGGTGAACCAGCCCAGGTCGAAAATGGAGCAGGTCAAAACTCCCATGCTGATCAGTAGTGGGATCCCGCCTGTGAATGGCCACTGCACTCCGGCCTGGGCAACAAGGCGAGACCCCGTCTCTAGGGGGGGAAAAAAAAAAAAAAAAAGACAGGGTTTCACCATGTTGGTCAGGCTGGTCTCAAACTCCTGACCTTAGGTGATCCACCTGCCTTGGCCTCCCAAAATGCTGCAATTACAGGTGTGAATCACCACACGCGGCCCCATTTAAAAAAATTTTTTTTCCATTCCCGTCAAATTCTTCCTGCCTTCCTATCCTGCTGACCTGGTGACCCCCGACCTCACTGTGACTGTGACCTGATGAGTGCCTTCTCCCCTCCCTGGAGCCTCCACTGCCTCTGGAATCGCTCAAGTTTCTGGCTACACAGGCTTCGACCAAGCAAACTTTCAGAGCTCAGGGCAAATGCCACTTCCCCAGAGAGGACCGACCCGTGCCTGTGGACTCCTGACCAACTCTCCCAACTCCTGAGACTTCTGCAGCCTTTATCTGGCCACTTCTGTCACTCCCAGCTCTGTAGGCGGCCCCGCCCTCACCTGAACTGCTATTCCCCTCACCTCCCATGTTCAAGCCCCATCAGCTCAATCTTGAAAACACATCAAGATATATCCCTCCCATTAGCTGGGTGTAACTGTAATCCCAGCTACTCGGGAGGCTGAGGAAGAATTGCTTGAACCCAGAAGATGGAGACTGCAGTGAGCCGAGATCATGCCACTGCACTCCATCCTCGGTGACACAGCAAGACCCGGTCTCAAAAAAAAAAAAAGAATTCTGGTAGGACTTGGTGGCTAATGCCTATGATCCCAGCACTTTGGGAGGCCGAAGTGGAGAGGTCACCTGGGGTCGGCAGCTCGAGACCAGCCTGACCAACACGGGAAAAAAAACCCCGTCTCTACTAAAAAAAGCCGGGCGTGGTGCGGCATGCCTGTAATCTGAGCTACTTGGGAGGCTGAGGCAGGAGAATTTGCTTGAACCTAGGAGGTGGAGGTTGTGGTGAGCAAAGATGGTGCCAATGCACTCCAGCCTGGGCAACAAGAGTGAAACTCAGGCTGGGCGTGGTGGCTCAGGCCAGTAATCTAAGCACTTTGGAGGCCAAGGTAGGTGGATCACGTGAGGTCGGGAGTTCAAGACTAGCCTGACCAACATGGTGAAACCCCGTCTTTTTTTAAAAAAAAAAGAAAAGAGTGAAACTGTTTCAAAAAAAAAAAACTTCCAAAAATATCCCTTCCTGGGCTGGGTGCAGTGGCTCACACCTATAATCCCAGCACTTTGGGAGGCCAGGAGTTCAAGACCAGCCTGGCCAGTGTGGTAAAACCACATCTCTACTAAAAATACAAAAATTAGCTGGCAGTAATGGTGCATGCCTATAATCCCAGCTACTCAGGAGGCTGAGGCAGGAGAATCCCCTGAACCCAGCAGATGGGGGGCGGGGGAGATGGGTGAAGGTTGCAGAGCCGAGATCATGCCATTGCACTCCAGCCTTGGCAACAGGGTAAGACTGTGTCTCAAAAAACAAAAAAGAAATACCCATTCCTGTTGGAGACCAGCCTGGGCAACATAGCGAGACCCCATCTTTATAAAAAAGGCTAATGAAACAGTCAGTGGGGCGTGGTGGCACATTCCTGTAGTCCCAGGTACTCTGGAGACTGAGGTGGAAGAACTGCTTGAGCCCAGCAGTTCAAGGCTGCAGTGAGCTCTAATCAGTACTGTATTCCAGCCTGGGCAACACAGCAAGACCCCACCTCTTTTTTTTTTTTTTTTTTTTTTTGAGACAGAGTTTCGCTCTTGTTACTCAGGCTGGAGTGCAGTGGTGCGATCTCGGCTCACCGCAACCTCCACCTTCTGGGTTCGGGCAATTCTCCTGCCTCAGCCTCCTGAGTAGCTGGGATTACAGGCACGCGCCACCATGCCCAGCTAATTTTTTGTATTTTTAGTAGAGATGGAGTTTCACCATGTTGGCCAGGATGGTCTCGATCTCTTGACCTCATGATCCACCCACCTCAGCCTCCCAAAGTGCTGGGATTGCAGGCTTGAGCCACCGTACCCGGCCTCTTTTTTTTTTTTTAATTTGAGACGGACTCTCACTCTGTTGCCGAGGCTGGAATGCAATGGCGCGATCTAGGCTCACCGCAACCTCCACCTCCCAGGTTCAAGCAATTCTCCTGCCTCAGCCTCCCAAGTAGCTGGGATTACAGGCACGTGCCACCATGCCCAGCTAATTTTTTGTATTTTTAGTAGAGACGGGGTTTCACCATGTTGACCAGGATGGTCTCAGTCTCTTGACCTCGTGATCCACCCGCCTCGGCCTCCCAAAATGCTGGGATTACAGGCTTGAGCCACCGTGCCCGGCCTGTTTTTGTATTTTTAAGTAGAGACAGAGTTTCATCATGTTGGTCAGGCTGGTCTCCAACCCATGATCTCATGATCCGCCCGTCTCAGCCTCCCAAAGGGTTGGGATTACAGGAGTGAGCCACTGTGCCCAGCAACCCCATCTCTTAAAACAAAAAAAACTCCTCCTACATCTGCTGCTACCTGGGCCTGGGCCTGTTATCTCTCTCTTTTTTATTATTATTATTATTATTTTTTGAGATAGAGTTTAGCTTGTCGCTCAGGCTGGAGTGCAATGGCACGATCTCAGCTAACTATTAACCTCCGCCTCCTGAGTTCAAGGGATTCTCCTGCCTCAGCCTCCTGAGTAGCTGGGATTATAGGCATGTACCATTATACCTGGCTAATTTTGTATTTTTGGTAGAGATGGGGTTTCTCCATGTTGGTCAGGCTGGTCTTGAACTCCCGACATCAGGTGATCTGCCTGTCTTGGCCTCCCAAAGTGCTGGGATTATAGGCATGGGCCACTGCGCCCGACTGGACCTGTCACCTTTCAGCAGGACTATTACAGGTGCCACCTCCCCAGCCTCCTTGCTTCTGCCCTTGTGCCCTAAAATCTCTTTTTGGCCAGCAACAGCCAGGATTATTTCACCACCACCCCCGCTGTATTATCTTATGAGAATCTTCATGAAGAAAAGTTAAAAGAGTTTCATAGTTATAAACCATATAGCCGCCACCTAGATTCTACAATTCACATTTTGCGCCGGGTGCGGTGGCTCACGCCTGTAATCCCAGCACTTTGGGAGGCCGAGGCAGGTGGATCACGAGGTCAAGAGATCGAGACCATCCTGGTCAATATGGTGAAACCCCGTCTCTACTAAAAATACAAAAAATTAGCTGGGCATGGTGGCGTGTGCCTGTAGTTCCAGCTACTCAGGAGGCTGAAGCAGGAGAATTGCCTGAACCCAGGAGGCGGAGGTTGTGGTGAGCCGAGATTGTGCCATTGCACTCCAGCCTGGGTAACAAGAGCGAAACTCCGTCTCAAAAAAAAAAACAAAACATTTTGCTATACAGACAGACCCCAGCTTATGATGGTTTGACTTACAGTTTGGACTTTACTATGGGTTTATCAGGGCACTGAACGCATTTTCAGCTTATGTAATTTTCTTTTCTTTTTCTTTGACGGAGTTTCGCTCTGTCGCCCAGGCTGGAGTGCAGTGGCATGATCTCGGCTGACTGCAACCTCTGCCTCTCAGGTTCAAGCAATTCTCCTGCCTCAGCCTCCTGAGTAGCTCAGACTACAGGTGCACACCACGATGTCCAGCTAATTTTTTGTATTTTAGTAGAGACGAGGTTTCACCATGTTGGCCAGGATGGTCTTGAACTCCTGACCTCAGGTGATCCACCCGCCTCAGCCTCCCAAAGTGCTGGGATTGCAGGGGTGAGTTACCACACCCAGCTCTTAATATTTTCAATTTATGATAGGTTTACGAGGATGCAACACCATTGCAAATTGAGGAGCATCTATACTTGCTAGAATAATCTCTTAAATTTATAAATCAGGTCACATCACTTCCTTATTTAAAACCAGCCAATCACTCCCATCACACTCAGAGTAAAGCTAAAGGCTTTCCAGGTCAGGCGCGGTGGCTCATGCCAGTAATCCCAGCACTTTGGGAGGCCAAGGTGGGTAGATCACTTGAGGCCAGGAGTTTGAGACCAGCCTGGCCAGCATGGCAACACCCCATCCCTACTAAAAATAAAAAAACTAGCCTGGCATGGTGGTAGACGCCTGTAATTCCAGCTACTTGAGAGGCTGAAGCATGAGAATCGCTTGAACCTGGGAAGCAGAGGTTGCAATGAGTTGAGATGGCACCACCGCACTCCAGCCTGAGCAAGAAAGCAAAACTGTCTCCAAAAAAAAAAAAAAAAAAAAAAAAAAAAAGGTGGAGGGATTATCTGAAGTTGGGAGTTTGAGACCAGCCTGAGCAACATGGAGAAAACCTGTCTCTACTAAAAATACAAAATTAGCCAGGTGTGGTGGCGCACGCCTGTAATCCCAGCAGTTTGGGAGGCTGAGGCAGGCGGATCACCTGAGGTCAGGAGTTCAAGACCAGCCTGGCCAATACAGTGAAACCCCATCTCTACAAAAAAAAAAGAAGTCTTTCCATCAGCCCAAAAGACTATACATTCTGGCCCTGCCCAACTGTGCCCTCCTTTCCCACCCTCTCTCCTGTTCAGTCTGCTCCAACAGCACGTGCCTCCTCTCTACCGTCAAAAGATGAGTCTCTGTCCTACCTCAGGGCCTTTGCACCCACTGTTCCCGCTACCAGGTGCCCCTTCCCCCGTCATATAGGTCACTGCATCCTTCTTGTCGTTCTAATTCCTGCTCTTAGATGTCACCTGCTCTTAAAGGCTTTCCTGGCTGGGTGCAGTGGCTCAGGCCTGTAATCCCAACACTCTGGGAGGCTGAGGCAGGCGGGTCATTTGAGGTCAGGAGTTTGAGACCATTCTAACCAACATGGTGAAACTCCCATCTCTACTAAAAATACAAAAAAAAGTTACCCAGGGATGATGGCGCACACCTGTAATCCCAGGTCTCCCCTCGAAGATTTCTGCCACCCACAAGTAGGCTTCAAAAATTGTAAACATGGCTGGGCGCAGCGGCTCATGCCTGTAATCCCAGCTACTTGGGAGGCTGAGGGAGGAGAATCACCTGAACCTGGGAAGCAGAGGTTGCAGTGAGCCGAGATCGAGCCATTGCACTCCAGCCTGGGCAACAAGAGCAAAACACCAAAAAAAAAAAAAAAAAAAAAAAAAGGCTGGGCAGTGGCTCATGCCTGTAATCCCAGCACTTTGGAAGGCTGAGGCAGGCAGATCATGAAGTCAGGCCTTTGAAACCAGCCTGGCCAACATGGTGAAACTGTGTCTCTAGAAATAAAAAAAAAAAAAATTAGCTGGGCATGGTGGCGCACACCTGTAATCTCAGCTACTCAGGAGGCTGAGGCAGGAGAATCACTTAAACCTGGAAGGTGGATGTGCCAGTGAACCAAGATTGCGCCACTGCACTCGAGCCTGGGAAACAAGAGCGAAACTCCATCTCAAAAAAAAAAAAAAAAGAAGTCTTTCCTGACCACTCTGCTAAATCACACCCGCTACTTTACTTCGCCCTGCACGGAAACTCCCTGAGAGTAGGGACGTAGCCTGCTTTTATGGTGCTGTGTCCTGGGTGCCAAGTGCAGGCCTGGTACGTTACAGGCCCGGTAAATGCTTGTTGAATGAATAAATAATGGAGCCGACCCCCAGTGCATGGCCATCTCTCTCCACACCCTCTGTGGTTACTGGACCACAGCAGGGGTAGGTCCCACGATCCCCAGGTCCTTACAGGTCTGAAGGGAGCGTCCCTGGGCTCACTGCCCTGCAGCTGCCCACCTTGAGCACCAGTTTGCTGGCAAAGTAGAAAAAGGCGACAACCCGGCCCCAGTTGAAGTTGCCATCAGAGAACATGTCAGCCGCCACTCGGAAAAAGACCTCTCGGGGGGAGTTTGTGTCCACAGTGGCGATCATCCTGCAGGAGAGAGGAGGACCGATGCTGGGGAGCCGGTACAGGCAGACGGTGGAAATTCCCACATCCACCACACACCAAAGATGAGGAAACTGAGGCCCATGCCAGGCTGAAATGAAAAGCAACCGGCCAATGGGGGCAAGGGAAGGGGACGAGACAGATATTTAACAGGGCGGGAAAATGACTCCCTAAAGGAGGGTTTTTAAATCCTGACAGAAGGAGGGTTGGAGGAGAATGTGGGGCTGGGACTCCTGTGTTCTCAGGAGCCCCATGATTGGACTCCTGGGTCCCGGGGGCCCCCACCTCTGCAGCTCCATGTTACTGTCCAGTTCGTCTCCGATGCGCTTGAGACACTCGCTCAGCTTCTTGGTGGACGCATCCTGGGGCACCGGGTCCAGGGCCAGCTCGGGTGCCTCCCCTCCGATTCGCCCTGCTCGATCCTGGATGAAACTAGAGTGGGAATGGAGTGAGGGTGCAGAATCAGAACGGGGTGTCACTCCTCAAATCTGTGCCCCAATAATCAGACCTCAAACTCACCCCTGAAGCAAAAGGGCCCCTGTCTTCATGATCTGCTCAGAGCTGGTGGGCCCTAGAGGAGAAAGGAAGGGAAGAGGTGCCTGGACTCTTGGGTGCTAGGGGATGGGAAGACTGTGGAGGTCCACGGTCCCTGAGGGAGGACAGAGCTGGGGACCCTGGACTTCTGGGACCCTAGCAGATAAAGTGACGGAGGCCCAGACAACTGAGTCCGGGATGGAGAAAGGCCAGCAGGCTAGGCCTGTATCCTGCACTCTCCCGCGGGGGAGAGGCTAGCGGAGCACCAAACGCATCCAGACCCCTGGCCTGAGGGGGCAGAGGCCAGACCCGCCCCTCCCACCAGCGCCAGAGGCAGGAAGTGGTGCGGGCGACAAGCCCGGGCCTGCCCGGGGGCTTGGATTCTGAGATCCCCTGGTTCTCGGGGATCCGAGAGCGCCAGACAGGCAGGGATCGGGGCACGGGGAACCGGAGAGCCGGGAACCTCCGAGGACGTAGGGGCAGCGCCCGATCCGGGAGTTCCTGCCCCTCCGTGCTTGGAGATCGCACGGCCCCAGGCCGGTAAGAGGGATCCTGGGACCGGCCGGCGAGGGGAGCTCGCCCTCCTTCCGCCCGACTGCCTCCCGCCTCACCCTCGCCTCTAGGCTGCTCCCCGGACCCGTCCATCACCGCTGCTCCCGCCGCCGCCTCTCGCCGGGTCCGCGCGGGCGGCCGCAGCGCGCCCCGGGTCACGTGAGCGCCCCGCTGAACGTGCGTCCCTCACGTGGTCGCCCCGCAAAATGGCCGCCGCGGGTGGCTGCCCCACAGCGCCGCCGGGTCACGTGACCGCACCTGCCTCGCTCCCTCGGGAGGCTGGGTCCCGTCACGTGACTGTCCGACGCGGATCTCCCCAGGCGCGCCCGCCGCGGCGCCCTTCCGACGGCCGCCCGGCCAGTCCCCGCTCTCGCCTTCCTGTATCCAGGCACCAGTTTCAGACGTTTCGGGCAGGGTTGGGCTCTCCCCGGCACAGAAGCGAGGACTCACGGGCCCCAGATAGCGTGCTTCCAGGCAGGACGTTGTAGATGACTAAAGGCTGAGTGGTTTTTTGTCTTTTTTTATTGTAGAGACCTAGATCTCTCTAGCTAGCCCAGGACCAGGCTTCTAACTTGTGAGCTCAAGAGATACCCTGGCCTCAGCCTTCCCAAGTGCAGGGATGACAGGCCTGAGCTACCGCGCCAGGCCTGCTTTTCTGTTTTTATTTTGTTTTGTTATGTTTTCTGAGACAGGATCTTACTGTGTTGCCCAGGCTGGAGTGCAGTGGTCCGATCATGGCTCACAAGCCTCCCACCTCAGCCTCCTGAGCAGCTGTTAGATTTTTAAAAAATGTTTTATGGAGCCGAGCACGGTGGCTCACACCTGTAATCCCAGCACTTTGGGAGGCCGAGGCGGGTGGATCACGAGGTCGAGAGATCGAGACCAGCCTGGTCAACATGGTGAAACCCCGTCTCTATTAAAAATACAAAAAATTAGCTGGGCATGGTGGCGCGTGCCTGTAATCCCAGCTACTCAGGAGGCTGAGGCAGGAGAATTGCCTGAACCCAGGAGGCGGAGGTTGCGGTGAGCCGAGATCGCGCCATTGCACTCCAGCCTGGGTAACAAGAGGGAAACTCCGTCTCAAAAAAAAAAAAAAAAAAATGTTTTGTGGAGCCGAGCACGGTGGCTCACACATGTAATCCCAGCACTTTGGGAGGCCGAGGCGGGTGGATCACGAGGTCAGGAGTTCAAGACCAGGATGGTGAAAGATAGTCTGTACTACAAATACAAAAATTAGCCGGGCACAGTGTCAGGTGTCTGTAATCCCAGCTACTCGGGAGGCTGAGGCAGGAGAATGGTTTGAACCCGGGCAGCAGAGGTTGCAGTGAGCCAAGATCGCTCCACTGCACTCCAGCTTGGGTGACAGGGTGAGACTCTTGTCTCAAAAAAAAAAAAAAAAAAAAAAAAAAAAAAACACATTTTTTTATTGTGTGGAAATGGGGGTCCCTCCATGTTGCTCAGGCTGGTCTCTGAACTTCTAGGCTCAAGCCATCCTCACACCTTGGCCTCCCAAAGTGCTGAGATTACTGACTTGAGCCACCTCACCCAGTTATGACTCTTGAGGGTTTGTGTAAAAATAAAAGGAATATGAAGTTCAAAAAGTGGTAGAAACTCATCTGTGCTGATAGATCAGCAGGGTATGGAGGGGAGGGGCCACAAGACAGACTCCCTGGGTGTCCCAAATGTGCCATATTTTGATCTGAATGGTGTTTGCATGAGTATACACATATTATTATTATTATTATTTTGAGACACAGATTTGCTTTTGTTGCCCAGGCTGGAGTGCAATGGCACGATCTTGGCTCACTGCAACCTCTGCCTCCCAGGTCCAAGCAATTCTCTTGCCTGAGCCTCCCAAATAGCTGGGATTATAGTCATTCGATAACATGCCCAGCTAATTTTGTATTTTTAGTAGAGATGAGGTTTCACCATGTTGGTCAGCCTGGGCAACAGAGTGAGCCTCTGTCTCAAAAGAAAAAGAAAATTAGCTGGATGTGGTGGTGTGTGCCTGTAGTCCCAGCTACTTGGGAGGCTGCGGTGGGAGGATCAGTTGAGCTTGGGAAGTCCCCGTCGCGGTGGGCTGTGATCAATCATGCCACTGCGATCAGCCTGGGGACACAGTAAGCTGCTTTCCCAAAAAGAAAAAGAAAAAGCCTGGCCAGGCGCGGTGGCTCAAGCCTGTAATCCCAGCACTTTGGGAGACCAAGGCAGGTGGATCACAAGGTCAAGAGATCGAGACCATCCTGGCTAACATGGTGAAACCCCGTCTCTACTAAAAATACAAAAAATCAGCTGGGCATGGTGGCGCGTGCCTGTGATCCCAGCTACTCAGGAGGCTGAGGCAGGAGAATTGCCGGAACCCAGGAGGCGGAGGTTGCGGTGAGCTGAGATCGCACTCCAGCCTGGGTAACAAGAGCGAAACTCCCTCTCAAAAAAAAAAAAAAAAAGAAAGAAAAAGAAAAAGCCTGGATAAAGGGGGAGGGTAGAGTTTAGGTGACAATCCAATGATAGCTTAGAGCAAAGCAAGGTCAACATCGGGTCAGGACTGTGAAGTGAAACCAGTGTCCTGAATTCCTGGAAACATGTGAAATGTTGCATCCAGAAACCCTTCATCTGAAGCTCTGCACCTGCGTTGGAAATCAAGGCTGCTACTCTGTATCAAGTGGCTTAGATCCTGCAAGCAAGAATGGGCTGTTTCATTTTTACTGATAGAATTTCCAACAATTTATGAGTGTAGAGAACAAAGTTTCTCAGTGAGTAGGAAAGCATGTCTTGGCACAGGGGCTCATGCCTGTAATCCCAGCACTTTAGGAGGCCAAGGCAGGCGGATCACCTGAGGTCAGGAGTTCGAGACCAGCCTGACCAACATGGAGAAACCCCATCTCTACTAAAAATACAAAAATTAACCAGGCATGGTGGTGTGCTCCTGTAACCCCAGCTACTTGGGAGGCTGAGGCAAGAGAATCGCTTCAACCTGGGAGACAGGCTGCAGTGAACAGACATCGGGCCATTGCACTCCAGTTTGGACGACAGCTGACTGTCGAGCTGGACTCCATTTCAAAAAAAAAAGCATATCCTTGAGAGAAATAATGCTTCCTGTTAACTTTGCGGCTGGCTTTGTATGTGTTACTCCATTCCAACGAGATAGCCCTCTCCCAGCCGGGCATGGTGGCTCACACCTGTAATCCAAGCACTTTGGAGGCCAAGGTGGGCGGGATCACCTGAGGTTGGGAGTTCAAGACCAGGCTGACCAACGTGGTGAAACCCTGTCTTAAAAAAAGAAAAGAAAAGAAAAGAAAAGAAATAAAGAGCCCTCTCCTTACCCCAGTTACAGAGAAAGAAAGAAAGGGCTTTTAATGCAGCTGCCTGTCTCTGAACAGTATAGCCACTGAGTGAGGGAATACACTTTTTAGCTAATTGTGAAGTAAAAACTTCATTTTATTTATTTATTTATTTATTAGAGGCCGGGTTTCACCGTATTGGTCAGGCTGGTCTCAAATTCCTGACCTCGTGATCTGCCTGCCTTGGACTCCCAAAGTGCTGGGATTACACGCGTGAGCCACCATACCCAGGCTATTTTTATTTATTTATTTTGAGACAGGGTCTCCCTCTGTCACCCAGGCTGAAGTGCAGAGGCACAGTTGTAGCTCACTGCAGCCTCAACCTCCTGGGCTCGAGGGATCCCTCCACCTCAGCCTCTGGAGTAGCTGCGACTATGCGTGTGTGCCACCATGCATGGCTAATTTTGTATTTTTTGTAGAGAGAGGGTTTTGCCATGTCGCCAAGGCTGGTCTCAAACACCTGGGCTCAAGTGATCCACCCGCCTTAGCTCCCCACAGTGCTGGGACTACAGGAATGCATCACTGTGCCTGGCTAAAACTCTTATTTTTTATTTTTATTTTTACTTTTTTACCCCCCACACCCCTGGCTAAAACTCTTTTTTTTTTTTTTTTTTTTTTGAGACAGAGTTTCGCTCTTGTTACCCAGGCTGGAGTGCAATGGCCCGATTTCGGCTCACCGCAACCTCCGCCTCCTGGGTTCAGGCAATTCTCCTGCCTCAGCCTCCTGAGTAGCTGGGATTACAGGCACGCGCCACCATATCCAGCTAATTTTTTGTATTTTTAGTAGAGATGGGGTTTCACAATGTTGACCAGGTTGGTCTCGATCTCTTGACCTCATTATCCACCCGCCTCGGCCTCCCAAAGTGCTGGGATTACAGGCTTGAGCCACCGCGCCCGGCCTTGAAACTCTTTATGATAATAAAGGTGTCGTATCAAAACTATTAAGCCCACATGGAGTCTCACCCCCAGGTATTCATGACCCTGCGTGGTCTCCACCCACACTGAATAGGGCTAAACAGTGTGACCGAGAGGCTGCCGTGGGAACGACAGAGCATGATGTCGCAGGTCAGGTCATAAAAGTCACTACAGCTTCCACCTGGCTCTCCTTCAGATCATTTCCTTTAGGGAAAGCCAGCTGCCATGCTGTGGGGGCACTCAAGAAGTCACACTCTGGCGAAACACGGGTGGTGAGGAGCCAAGTCCTCTGGCCAGGTGAGTTAACCACTTTGGATGGAGACTCTTCAGCCCGTCAAGCTTTCAGGTGAAGACAGCCTTGACCAACATGATGACAGCAATTTTCAGGCCGACCCTGAGCTGCAGCCACCCAGCTAAGCCACCCATTAATTTATATTTTCTTGGCCAGGCGCGGTGGCTCAAGCCTGTAATCCCAGCACTTTGGGAGGCCGAGGCGGGTGGATCACGAGGTCAAGAGATTGAGACCATCCTGGTCAACATGGTGAAACCCCGTCTCTACTAAAAATACAAAAAAATTAGCTGGGCATGGTGGCGCGTGCCTGTAATCCCAGCTACTCAGGAGGCTGAGGCAGGAGAATTGCCTGAACCCAGGAGACGGAGGTTGCAGTGAGCCGAGATCGCGCCATTGCACTCCAGCCTGGGTAACAAGAGCGAAACTCTGTCTCAAAAAAAAAAAAAAAAAAAAATTTATATTTTATTTTTTTAATCTTTTTTTTTTTTTTTTTTTTTTTTGAGATGGAATCTCAGTCACCCAGGCTGGAGTGCAGTGGTGTGATCTCTGCTCACTGCAACCTCTGCCTCCCAGGTTCAAGGGACCGCTGTCATCTCGGCCTCCTGGGTAGCTGGGACTACAGGCACTCACTACCCTGCCTGACTAATTTTTGTATTTTTTTTTTTTGAGATGGAGTTTTCGCTCTTGTTACCCAGGCTGGAGTGCAATGGCGCGATCTTGGCTCGCCCGCAACCTCTGCCTCCTGGATTCAGGCAATTCTCCTGCCTCAGCCTCCTGAGTATCTGGGACTACAGGCACGCACCACCATGCCCAGCTAATTTTTTTGTATTTTTAGTAGAGACGGGGTTTCACTATGTTGACCAGGATGGTCTCAATCTCTTGACCTCGTGATCCACCCACCTCGGCCTCCCAAAGTGCTGGGATTACAGGCTTGAGCCACCGCGCCCAGCTCAATTTTTGTATTTTTTGTATAGATGGGGATTCACCATGTTGGCCAGGCTGTTCTCAACTCAACCTTAAGTGATCCACCTGCCTCAGCTTCCCAAAATGCTAGGATTACAGGAGTGAGCCATTGCCCTCAGCCTAAGTTTTG